CCCCCCCATTTTTTTTTAGTTTTACCAAAGTTGAAAAAGGTTAGAAAAACTCAAATCAAGTTTACTTGGGGGATATTTCTCTTTACATCTGGTCCTGGAGACATAAAAGTGAGAGAAATCTTCTTAGACACTGAGAGGAATTTATGAAAACTGGAGCAGACCATCTGGAGCAGTTGTGCATGGCAACCAATCAGCCTCTCTCTTCAGTTAAGACTTGAAAATGAAAGATAGAAGCTGATAGCTTGTCGTGCACAACTGCTCCAGATTTTGTCTGCACCAGTTTTGATAAATTCCCATCTTTATATTTAGTATTTCCAATCACTTTCTGTCCCAAAGACAAATAGAGTGAAGCTCAAAATTAAAAAACATTATAATAATTTCGGCTTTATATACACTTCAAATTAATATACTGTTAACCCTTTCACTGCCATGCTAATGGCATACAGCGGAACACAACCACTTGCAGCTGGCCACGTCAGTGGCTTTTACCCTTCTGCTTCAAGCTCATGGTCACTTTAGCGATCATGAACTTATGCCCGAAAAATAACAGCGGTCATCAGTCTCAGGATGATAGCAGCTCTGTGCGTGACCGAGGGGAGGATCGGTAAATATCTGATTTACCAATCCTCTGTGCGCAGAGGAAACACTGGAGTGATCAGCTGATCACTCCAATGTTTGTAAACAACTGAGGACACATAGAATGATGTGTCCTCAGTTATGAATGACATTACTTATGCTGGTTATGCTTTACTTCACTTCCTGTTCATTCCTGACTTTCTCAATGAGGAGAAGCACTGGCTATGAAGGCTTGTACCCATTCAGAAACTGGTTAATAGTACTATCAGCAGTTTCTGAATGAATGGAAGCATCTGTACTGATAACTTTCCATTAATTTAGAGGCTGCAGAAAAAGATGTAGGACCCTGTGTCCTCAATTTCTTTTTCCATTTCAAAAAGTAAATGTCAGGGGTCTCTTTAGACCTGTGATATTTCCTTGAAGCCCCTCCAACAGCAAAATTAAATAAAAAAAATGTTTAGTAAGAAGCCAAAGATCAATATTATAAATTATGTAAAAGCATAAAAAATGTGTTTATATAAATTAACCATTAAAAAGGTGAATGCGCTTTTAATCCATTAAAACACAAGCAAGAATGTCCATTTACCTGTCTTCCCATATATCCACATGCCATATAAGTTAAAATTGGCTGTAGCATCACTTGAACTGTGCTAGCCTTCTTGCTAAGAGTGGTTAAAATGGTGAAGAGACCATCACCAACAGAAATGGCATCTAGCCCTCCGTGGAAGTTTTCATGTTTGGTTAAATGTAAACCACTTGCACCTAAAACAAACAAAAAGCACACAATGAAAATATTTCATTATAATTACCTATACCTTTACACATTTTGGACCATACCTAAAACAAAGTAAGTGAAAGTAACCATCTGATGACACCACTATGAAAAGATGGTAGTTAAAGCACAAATCCATTCATCTTCATGGTTCTGGAAAGTCAGAACAGGGCAAGTTGGCTTAAACATTAGGGCAGAATTTAATATTTTATGCTTCTGAAATGAATGCTCTTTGCCGACATATAGTCATTTATAGGAATTAGGCGTTAACACAAGCATTGAGGATCTCAATAACGCTACTATAAAAGTGCAACAAGCAAATATATATATATTGGTTCTGTTTATAATATGGCTATTACACTTACCAATAATCATGGCCATTGCACTGCTATTACATTGGCCAAGGGCTGAGAGAATCTGGCTCATGATTTGCTGGTTGGCTAGCACCAAATCTGCCACATATGTGGTAGCGCATTGTGTAGTAGAAGAGTTACTGCTTGTGTCTTTTCCTCCATAGACTTTCTCCTCATCAGAAACACTGTCTGTTGTGCTGTTAACAGGTGGACGGGCACTGAACTCTTTGTTGCTTGACAGTGGCAGCTGAACAAGGATATTAATCAGTTTTAATAAGTCAAACATCAACTGATCACGTGTTATTTCTCCACAAACTGCTTTCGCATCGCCAGGTCGAATGATATTTGCAAAAAGGCCTCCAAAACAAGCCCTTGCACCAACAGAGCTGTCAGATCCACTACGGGACACAACTTTGTCAGAACAGGTGATGTAGTGATGGACGAGAAAGGTAACTGATTCAATGACTGCTGAGATGGTGCTGACAGAGACCACCTCAAAATTCTGTTCCAGAGTGAATTCTAGGAGTTTCACCTGAGCATCCAGGGGTCCTTGTCCAGTCTGAAAAGCACCTCTACAAGAAGAAAGAGACACGGGTTTTTGTATATTCTAGTAAACAATACAGAAGACCAACATCTCATTATAAAATTGCTGACACTGAGCTCAGTAATATCCAATACCTTTCTGTTGAAAGTATGTGTATGAGTTTTAACAAAAATTCACTAAACATCTGAGGGCTGGTAGCGGAGAGGTGAACTTGTAATCGTGTCAAAAACTCATGCATTGCCTGAGTAGCTGTAGGTCCAACCTGCAAGACAAAAAAAAAAAGCATTATTTAACACAATATAAGCAACTGGACAAAAAAATATGTCTTCTATATATTAGAATCTTAAAGACAACAGGTTAGCCTCAACACATTCAAGAAACCATTACTGCTAAGGTTTAACAAAGACTATTACATGATAATGTTAAAGCAACATAGCCTATGGGTCATTATCACAGTTTTGACTAGGCAACTATCAAAAGGTAGATAGCAAAACTAGATCAGTTGACTTCTGTATATCTGTAGAAAAGTACTGTCAGTTTTAATAGTTTAACAAAGAGTCTGACCAGCAGACAGCCAGAAACTACTTCACTCCTTAAAACAGATGTAAATGCATTAAAAAACATTTCAGTTCTTTCTTTCACGGAGGAACACAGGAAGTCATACTGTCAGGTTATACTATAGCATAGAGGGGGATTGGACACTGGCAAACAGAAAATCTGTAGGCTTGCCCAGGATAACCCTTCCTACAACCAGCATGCCTCCTAAAGAGGACAGACACCTTCACTCTGTTGGTAAAAAGTCTATCCTAACGCTACCATTTTCTTCCTTTTTTCTTTAATGAAGTTTCCTCGGTACCTTTCTGCTTGAGCTGGTCTCTACAAAGTCAGGAGTGGCGTTTTTTCAGTCTAGCTTTGGAGTGCCATACTGCGACTCCTCTGGACTGGACATTGCACTGGGTTCTGCACTGAGTGATTTCAAGACCCTGTTCTGGTATGAAGTTAGCTGCAGAGCATTTTTTCAGGACCAAAGTCGTGGGCAGTGCCTCAGCGCTTGCCCTGTCTCAGAATTAGGTAGTCACTGAGTAGGCAGATCGAGTGGAGCCCCAGGAGCTACCTTCCTGTATAGCCCACTTAGCGCACTCGGTGGCCCCGCCCTTTATCCTATTCTGGCTGTGACCTTCATTTGTCAAACAGTGGAGGAATGGTCTAAATCTCTCCACTGCACTAGTAGATACTTTCCTGATAGGGTGGGCGGGACAGAGGTCTGAAGTCCTACACCTCAAGCATTGATAGCCTGCTGGAAGTGCATAAAGGTCGATCGCGATCACTGGTAGATCGCAATGTCCTCTCCTCCCGCCTGTGGGGCTTCTCTGCATCCCCGCTGCTCTCCCGATCTGTATGCAGCGGGGATCCGAGAAGTGAAGGAACCACTGCAGCCGACGGAGGCGCAGACAAAGAACTGAGCACGAGCGGTGAGGAGAGAGAGAGAGACGCTCAGCCAGGTTCTGACAGCCGGCGCCTCACCCTCCCCTCAACGCTCGCTCGGCCTTAGTTCTGTGACAGCGGCTCCATCCTCCGCCCCAATAGTCTTGGTACTGCATACTATAAACTGATGCATACTGCTAGTAAAAGTGGTTATCCTGGGATAGCATAGTTTTATTTGCTTGCTGGTGACCAAACCTCCTGTAGATGGCAGTATAGCCCGACAAAATACTCCTTTGTCCTTCAATGGCATTAAGAAATTGCAAGGATTGTATGAGTTTTTGCCATTTTTTTATATAGCTTTCATTGAGCTGTGCTCCAGTGTTTTCACCCTACCACATGTAGAAGATGAAAAGCAGTCCTGCTGACACACATTGCACAGATACGATCTGTTCAGGAAAACAATACAGAGCAATGATGTGCAGGCAACACTGGAGCGAGTGCATGCAGACAGGACGTGGCTAAAAGGCTGGATGAGATCAGCAGCAATGATTGCCAAAAAGGATGAAAAAAATTTGGAGCAGCTAGTTATGAAAAGGCAGTTTTCAATAAATTATAAAACTGCATTATACAATGTCAAGTACATTATAAACCTCACCTGGGAACTGTGCTGGTTAGTCCCATGAGGGTTTGTTCCTGAGAGGAATTTCACAAGGACATGTAGGAGATTTGAATCCGATACCAGTAACTGGGCAGTGCTTTCCTGAGCTCCAATAGCGCTGCTCGGTCCAGCTAAGTACAAAGGAACATAGTTAATACAAAAATTATAACACTAATCATGAACAGTATATGTATTTAAAAAACAAAACTATTCAAAAACCCCCTGTAGCATGCAAATTGGTATACACGATTAAACCAGAAGGGTACAAAACACTACATGGATACTAGTATTCGATACTGAAAAACTGGTATTGGTGCACCCTAGTTTTTATAAACTAGGACTCTGTATAGCATACATGAAAATACTCATTAAATAATGAGCTGAGACAAGAAAGTTTGGGAATATAAGCCTTTAATATTTATTAAACAAAAACAAATATTGGGTACAGCGGGTCTTCACCCAAATCGTGGGTAAAGTACATCTGTGCCCAGACAATGGACAGTAAAGTATTTACATATTTTTAACAAGCCATACGAAAAGCTGTCAAAACAAGCCTTTACTGACATCTGAGAAATTAATCTTCAAGGTTCACAGCAGAGGTACAGCTCCCCCTATTTTCAAGGAAGCATGGACTTTGAAGATTGTCAGCCTTCTAACAGCAGGTGCTGTAAGTTGCTAAAAACGGACTGAAAGAGGACTAGAAAGTCTCTTCTGTGATATCTAAAATATGATATTTGTTAAATAAAACCCTTTTCTTGGACGGACACGAACATGTGGGTTATACTGCTGTTTACAGGAGGATTGGACACTTGCAAACAAAAATAACCAGCCAAGGCCGACCCCTCATCAAAGTGGATTATACATGCTGGATTGATCGGGATATTGGGAACTTAGCGTTTTTTGACACTCTGTTTCAGAGTGTCATAAGAATCTGGTGAGATTTTCTTGAGCATATAATGGGAGAATAACGTGCACACAGAGCACTAAGTGTATGAACCTGTGGTCGTTTGTGGAGTGCTTGTATCCACAGGAGGATTACTTTTACTATATAGATGGACACTATTTTGTTTGTTTTTATGGAATGTATATCGAATATGGTCACGGATTTATAGAGATTCCACGCTTAGTTGTGGAAACTATTGCGTTTATAATTTCACATTTAATCAATGGCATATTCACGAAGTGGGAGATTCACGAAGTGGGAGATAACTTTTACAGAGTTGTACAATTTTCTACACAAGATGATTTTTATATAGTTTATTTTATCTTGAAGTTATTGGATAGCGCAGTGCAATCTCTATATCTATACGTGTATGTGTACACATACACTAAAGCAGAGCAGCAGCTTGTAGCACTTTAAGGAATATTGTATATCCACAAGTGCAAACTTATATAATGATTACAGGATAAAGCTGCGGAGACGGGCCTGCAGACACTGCAAAGGGTACAGTAGGACCAATGTTCACGATACCCTGCACAAAGGTCTTCACTAAAGGAGTCAGCCACAGCAAGTGGTAATTAAAAAAGAATTGCCAGAGCGGAGATTTTCCTGCAATGGAATTGTCTCGCCTTGCAGCAGGCAAAATAAGCCATCCAGGTGCGATGGGCGACACTGTGAAAAGTTCATTTCTTAGACTTCAGTAGCGTAGGGATAACCATGTCCAATAGGTCCCATGCCACTTTGAATCTGGGCTTCAACAGCCAAACCATTAAAGCCAATAAGTGAGAAAGCAGGATGGTGGACTAGCCCTTAGGACAGAAGATCTGAGCGGTCTGGAATGGCAAAGGGAGAGTCTGCTATTGGGTCTGAATATGTTTGGGTAGCACACCATCCTGGGCCAGTCTGAATGAATGAGAAATGCCTGGATGCACTCTACATCAATTCTGTGGAGCAGACCAGGGAAGTGCTTTGGAGAAAGATAGGTGTAGAGTAAGCTAAGAGGAGTCACTAGGGCGTCCACTGCAGCAGCCCCAAGGATGCCGGAAACCTCCACCTGCGACAGAGCGTGAAACATCTTTGGGTGGAGACACCCTTTTCCTGGATCCCAACGCTGTTGGCTAAGGAAGTCTGTCAATTTGATGCCCAGGATGTGCAAGGGGATAAGAAGCAGAATTTGGAGTTCTGCCCAGGCTAGACAAAGATCCGGTTCTCTTTGAGTTGTGCACCTTCAGGTGCCTCCCTGATAGTTGATGCAAGCCACTGCAGTGGTGTTGTCCGACTGAATTCTGGTTAGGACTTCTCCCCAGCCCGATAGGCTGGCATACGCCATGAGAACATTGGGAGGAAGGATTTCTCTGACTCTGGCACCGGACAGGAAATCCACCACACCAAGAGTTTGGCAGAGCAGTTAAGAAACATGGAGTGTCTGTTTATCCCAACGCAGCAAGAATGCCGAGTTGCGGCGGTCTGGAGTAAAACTGGGCTTATGAAATTGCCTCAAATGAGGCTACCTTAGTGTACAAAACCTTCATAAAAAAGTAAATAGAGGGTGGCTCTTGAATAAAACGGTCCGAGCATGATTAGCGGAAGGACAGAAGCTTAACCTGAGGAAGAAAGTCTTTACAAAAAGTTGTAACCAAGATTAGGTCCAGATACTCCAGACAGTGATTCGGTTCCAGCGCCAACTTCTGGAAACCTGGCTGTCTATGCATGATCCACTTGACATTTGCTGACAGAACTTGAACAGGTCCTTTAGTGTGAGTGCGAAGCAGAACTAGAGCAGGAGACAGCAACTTGGCAAAATGTTGTGGGCAGACCAAAAGGAAAGGCAACAAAATGTAAATGTTCCATGCCAACAGCAAAATACAGGTAGTGCTGAGGTGGTAAAATTAGGATGTGCAGGTAAGCATCCTTTGAGTCCACAGAGGCCACAAGATCCCCTTGCTGAAAAGAGGCAATGGCTGACTTGACCAATTCCATGTAGAACCTTTGAATACAGAGGAACCTGATGAGGGGCTTCAGATCCAGAAGGGGATGATTGCCACCATCTGCCTTGGGAATAAACAGGTTTGCGCAGAACTCCATCTAAAATGGGGGCAATGACTCCCAACTACAGAGTTTCTGTAGAGCAGCACAAAGATATGCAAATTTAAGACCATGAAGTGGGGTGGAGGCAGAGAGTGAAACTCTAGGTGGCAGACCTACCGAGCAAGTGTACAGGCAAGGTCTTGGCTGGGTTAGGCATTTCCAGGGAGCCCATATGCATTCTGAAGGAATGCCAAAAACGTCCTCCTCCTTGGGAAGCAAGAAAGCTGCGAGTGGAATGTTCACAACTGACTAGTGGGGAGAGCAAGGAAGCCCACATACCTTAGAAAAGCAGATCGTGCCATGCACTTGTAGGAACCTGGGCAGACATTCTATGGTGCTACGTGCCCGATGAAGCGCCCAATAAAGGATCCAGTGACTCTACCAACATTAGAGGCCATCCCTTCAACTTTCCAGCAAAGTCCAGGTATGGTCCCATGGATAGGTCAACGGGTTGAACAAAGAAAATATAACAGACTCCTCCATTAATGCATTTTATTCGGACGGTAGCCGATGTCAAGATTAGCCAATCAGAGCTGGCAGCCAATGAGCTCAACTCTTTTACAACTCTTAAGTAAGAGGAGCGACTCTCTGCTGTGTTATCCTAGGAGAGGATGGGGGAAGGGGACAAGGAAGAGGGGGCAGGCCAAAACTAAAAAAAATAAATCTCTAACATTTGTCTCATAATAGCCTTACAGACAAAAAGATTTACTTACAGTTCAGCTGCATGTTTGTCATCAGAGTGAGGCTGTGAAGCACAAGGCACCATGTCCGGAGCAAGGTATTTGGATGCCAGGCTAAGACTGTTAAAAAGCTTGTAATGGATGCTAAAATACAATAAAAGAAAAAAAGAATAATGTTTTTTTGCAAGTACTTAAAAAAAAAAAAAAAAACTTTAAAACAATGACCGGCACAGATAACATGAAAAGTCTTCTCTGGTTTATTTCACAAAACTAAGAATGTAAGAAGGAAAGCAGCAAAAAAGTCCCTCTGTCAGTAAACAAAGCTAATAATTCTAACAGTTTAGGACCAGAAATGCCTAAACAATATAATTTAACTGCCTGAATACCTATGTGTTGCAAAAAAATAAATAAAATAATGGAGCTGCCTACTATTTGTGTGCATACCAGAGCCATCCCCTTCCTCTCACAACAGAAGGGGAGGAGTATTTATGGATATAGTATTTAATGCATTAAGAGTAAGCAGCAGCAGATTCAAGGCGTTAGAGATTTAGATCATTTGATTCCATCATGCCCTTCTAAATATTGTCTCCATCCAGTCTCTGCAGCGACCTGTATATTAACCACTTAAACTCTCTTCCTGGCCAGGCCATTTTTCAGTATTCAGCGCTGCGGTACTTTGACTGACATTTATACCGTCATGCAACGCTGTACTGAAATTAATTTATTTTATACCATTTTTTGGTGACAGAGCTTTATTTTGGTGGTATTTAATTACCACTGAGTCTTATTTTTTTTTCTTTTACTATATAATAAAATAAAATACAGAATAAAAAAACAAAACACTAGTTTCTCTTTATTATGTTATGAAACATTACCCGATTTTTTGGTAAAATATAAAAGACAGAGTCATGCCGGTTAAATAAACACCAAACATGTCAAGCCTTAAAATTGCGCACACCTGCGAAATCACAAAAAACAAAATCACATCCAAAATTGGCCGTAGGCGATGTTTTAAAAGCTTTTACCGCTCATTAGTCTAGCGTTAACAGTGGCCCTAAAAATATTGCTCACACTGACGTTTGCGATGATGTGCAACATGTGCCGCGTAATGGGCGCAATTGTTTTCGCACATAGGCACACCAGAGGCATGTTTGCGTGTGTATGTGGGGGACTTTAAACATTTTTGTGTGTGACTAATTTTTTTATACACTTAACTTTAAGTAAGAATCCCCCTATGTGATATCAAATGACAGTTACAGGTCCTCTTTAAGGCATCAAGGGTCTCCAAGACCCCCAATGTCACCTAGGGACCCCCAAAGAAGCCGATAGATCTGCTTCGCCAGCTTCTGTAGCCGGAGAATGACAGCTGAATGCGAAAGTGATGTTATTAACATCGCTTCTGCATTCACAACACTGGAGGGGAGTTCATAGGGAGATCGGTAACAGATCTCTCTGAGGCACCATTCACACTGCGCGATTCGCAAATCGCGCGTTTGTCGCGCGATTTGCATTTTGCGCAATATCGCGCAAATGCTTGCATTGAGCAAGCTTGAATCGCGGCTAAATCCGCTCCAAAAAGGGTCCTGCTGCAGCGACGCACGACCTGCGACAGCAGGACCCTTTGTCCCATTAAGAAGCATTGGAGAGCGATATCGCGCGGTAAATTGCCGCGATATTGCGGGAATTACCGCACGATAAATCGCTAAGTGTGAACGGGGCCTGAACAGAGGCCAGAATCGGCGACGACGGAAGGAGCAACGAAGGCACAACATACAAGCGATCGGGTGGCATCTAGAACGCACCCGTCCGGCTGTTTATGTAGGTCAGTGGGCGGCAAATTGATAATAACGTCACCCGCCTCATCCTACATTAACTCATCTCCATCCTCCCACTGTATGTGACCTGCACATTCAGCCCCTTTACCCTGTGTATGACCATACCTGTCTATGGACCTGCATAAGATGTGATGACATCAGAGGTCCTTAGCCCCCTTAGCCCAGGGGAGAAGAGGTTGTGGGGACCAGTCTAGGAGCCTGGAGGGAGTCAGCTGGATAAAGGATCAGGTGAGTAATACAGCTTTGAGTCTCCTAGATAAAATGAACACTTAAACCTTTGCAGTGCAGGGTAGCCCCACTGCAAGGGTAAGTTATTTGTTTGCCCAGAGTTCTTCTTAAAAGGAGAACTATGACATGAGTGATTTCCACTCACGTCATAGTTCTAAGCCGACCTGTGACAATGAGACTGTCACAGGTCGGCTCAGTAGATCGGGAGGTGAGGGAAAACATACCGGGTTCCCTCACCTCTCGATCCTGCCACGGCTCTCTGCCGTGACAGGGGGAGGGGCTGGATTCCCCTCTCCGATCTGCCAGCGCTGACTGGCGGAACGGACGGGGGAGGGGGCGGGTACAGCTGGCTCTGCCTCTAGATAGGCAGAGCCAGCTGTCACTCACGCAGCTGGGCGGATCCCGTCATCTAAGTCGGAATCTGCTCCGGCGTCTCAGTATACCGCGAGCTGTAGCTCGCAGTATACTGAGCTTAGGGTGAAGGGAGGACGCTAGTTTGTGTCCTCCCGTTACCCCAAGGAGAACTATGGGGAAAAACACTGACCCCATAGTTCTCCTTTAAACTCATGTTTTGGGGGCCAAAATATGGCCCTCGCTCCTTCCTTGCCTGCAGGCAGTTTAGCAATTTAAACTGAATGAAGCTGCAACTGATAAAAGGTTAAACTTTCTAACATATTCATTCAGCTGCATGCTTCATACAATGTTTCATTAATCCTTTCAAGAAGATAAATAATGTAAGTTACAGATTTTACTATTAGGTAATTAAAGTGATGTCATCTTTTTCTTGTACTAGGTGTGGCCCTCAGTAGACATTCCATACAATTCAGCCCATTGTTTTCTAGGAATCTGAAAAACCTGCTTCAATAGTTACAAGTAGGAATGTATCGGTGCCGAGTATTTGGGAGAGTACTCGTACTCGCCCAAATGCTCTGATGCCTAGCCCGATACTTCCGGTATCAGGTAGCTGGGCAGTGAGTCATTACACGCTGCCCGGCTCCATGCTCCCTCGTTACTTGTGACAATCAGGCAGCCGCGCAGTGTGTAATGACTCGCTGCCCAGCTTTCCGATTGGTCGGGAAGCTGGCCAATGGGACTTCCAGTAATCGGTATCGTTGAGTATCGGAAAAAATATATTGGTACTCGCTACCGAAAAAACGGTATCAATGCATCCCTAGTTACGACTAATGAAAACCAGTTAGCATTTTACTAAGACTTTAACAGTGTTTCATGTCCCCATGAATTCCTGGCCTTTCAACACTAGGTTTTTGTTTACCCTTATGGTTAGTAAAATAGCAACTGGTTCACTTTAAAACCATATATGTGTAGTACAGTGGCTTAGTGGTTGGCACATCTGCCATGCAGCACTGGGGGTTTCCGGTCAGGACTTGTTCTCCCTGTGCTTGCGTGGGTTTCTCCGGTTTCCTCCCATTCTCCAAAGACGTGCTGGACAGTTAATTGGCTCTTGTCTGAAATGGCCCTGTATGCTTGTGAGATAGGGACCTTAGATTGTAAGCTCATTGAGGGCAGGGACTGATGTGAATGTGCAGTGTGTAAAGCTCTGCGTAAATTGTTGGCATTATAAAAATATATGTAATAAAAGTTCATCTAACTCACCAGAAAGACTGAATAAAAAAATATATTACCAGTAATACACATTAAAGCATAATCAAGAACGTTACAGAAAAAGTATTTAAATCCATGCAATTACCTTGATTTACAGAGATGACTGGTATTCTGTTTGCATTATATAGGAAAAGCTCTCCACCACTTTCCTTGCCCCCATTTGAGCTAGAATTCAGGCTCAATGTGAGCCATAACTGTAGAAGTGATTCAAGCTATACAAAAAACAAAAAAAAAGATTATAAAATACACATCCTATTTGACACATTTAAAATAATGAAGAATAGATTTTAAACAGTTTATTATAGAGTATATTGAACAGTGTTAGCATTGCAAATGCTAATCAAGATACTGAAGAAATTATCTTATGCCTTTATTGGACAAGTAAAAATGTGACTTCCAGTGCTTTTCATGGCAGACAGAATGCTGGATGGGAGAAGATGTTCACATGATGGATTCCATGCAGCAGAGGATTAAACCGCGCTGTATCAAGGGAGCCACATGGTTCACATTGCCATGCTCAATGCCATATGCTTATGCCATATAACTGCATTTTGGTAATAACCTGGTCAGTTAAAAAACCTGTTTTAAGCATGTGTGGCAGTCGCAGCAATGTATGGCATTTATAGCAATTTCCTAATCTTAGACTACAGCATAATTAGCCTTTATGTTGTAGAGATCTGAGAGTGGGAGCGGTTGGGTAATTCAGAAAGACACTGGGAACTGACAACACTCCCACACATGCCTGTTGTGTTGTTCACCCACAACAGGACATAGGAAGTGACTGCCAAATCAGACATTTTTCTGTTCTTGCAGGGTTAGAAGAATAACACACAAAGAAATGTGCATACATTGCAGGGATATAAGTAAAGGGTAGTTCCAGTTTCTTCTCTAAATTTACATATTTGTGAAAATTTATTTACCGCTACTAATCGTTTCGTTTGCAAATGGAGAACACTCATTGGTCAGCTAGGTCACCTAACTGCGCCGACCAATGAGAGGCACTTTTTGCCAAGAAGCTCTTCTCACTGGTCAGCGTGTTCAGGTGACCGTGGTGACCAATGAGTGGAAGCGTAATCTGAAACACGATCACTAAACACCAGCACTGCCTTTACACACAATACACTATCCAGGGGGGGAAGCCACTATGAATACTAATGAATGGGGCGTGGAGAGCTCACTTGTAATATACACACTTTGCTTGCACAGTGGCAGCCTTTTCCAAGAGGATAGGAGGAGGAGAGCTAACAAAAAATGTATGTTTCTGTGTTCATATACAGCAACTGTATATGCCTGCTTCATTTACAGTCTGTGTACATTGCTGGCATATATTTTTTTTAAATGCCTCTGCAAAAGGTGGAAATGGGCTTTAAGCACAAAAACACACCAACAACTTGTCAAAAACACATAGGCATGCCTTTTTCATGCACCCTTTGTAGGGAATAACTTACAAGATCATAGTTAAAGCCAAAAAAAGGACAAAACCAGTTACCTCAAACTCAAAACTAAGGAGGAGCTTATTAAAATTGAAGTCCCCAAAGTAAGCATGCCTTCGACTTTTCTAGTGACATCCCTGTTAACATAGGACACTGGAGAATCAACATTAAGCATTTCCCAACTATTACTAAATCCCTTCTAAAATCTCAGGAGGGGTCAAGAATGCCTTTTAGGGTGTTTTTATTCTACAAAGAGGAAATCCCCAACAGTGCGTGTTATGGAAAGGTCTAAAAAAAAAACAAGCCCAATAGCAGCAGGCTTTAGGAACAGTAGGGGTATGGGGCCTTGTGTAGGCTGAATCGTGGCAAAGAAAGTGCATGAAAGCAATACACCATGTGGATGATATTGGTGCTCAATCCCTCAGAATTAAGCCACATCCTGATTAAGGTAGTTGAAGCGGGGAAAATGTCAAAATGGCACCCAATGGTACCAACCATGAGATAGATTGCAATGCTTTAGCCGACTGGCCTTGCTCACTAGGAGAGCTTTCAGAGACGATCATTAAACCTGATGAAAGGAACACTGATGGTTACAACTGCTATGCTCTAGGCCAACAAAGAAATTTCATTATGGTTTCATTATGTAGATGATTAGGCTGGCAACATCTTTTTTTCCTTCAGAGAGGGTCAAACCAGAGGCTGTGCCACAGTGCTGAATCTGGAAAGGGCTTTGCAGCCAACACAGAACAATGTTTAAAAACCAACCACCACAATGCAGAGCCCAGTGCTCACATTCTAAAGCTAGCCTCACAATATTCCAGAGGCCTACTCAAAACATGAGTTTTCAAGACTGGATCACACCAGTGGATGTGCCACAGCTCTGGAGCCACAAAGCGCTGTGTGGCTAACAGTACACAAAGGCCTGGAAAGTGCCATAATGCAGAGCCAAGTGCCCGAAAGTCACATTCCAGACTAGCCATGCAATCTCAAGTCCAGAAGAGTTCAGGTATGGCCTCCAAAGCTGTTGCTGAAGATATGCCAATTTAAAAAGCTACTGTGTAGAGACCCGCTCAGGCAGGGTTCCTGACTGAAGTAAAAAAAATATCTACAGTCTACTGAGTATCTTAACTGAAGACAGAAAAATATTTTTTTTTAAATTAAATTAAAAAGCTTTTTCTCAACATGGCTGAGGAAAAAAGACGTCTAACCTCCTAAGACACTAGCAAAAAACTAAGCCATGACAGTTAGAGATGGGGTTATATGGGGGCTGCCTTTCAATGTTTCTTTGTTTGCCAGTGTACCAACCTCCTGTAGATGGCAGTGCATCACCAAGCTGTTTCAGAATTTCTGAATTCCTGTGTCCCTCAATGGACAATGCATGCTGGGAGTCAGAGTGATTATACCAAGTTGGTCACAAACTTTGTTTGCCAGTGTCCAAATCCTCCCGTAAGCTGCAGTATAACAGCATTTGAATTCCTGTGTGTATCAATGAACTCCAAGGACTGGATTTACCGATAGTGTACAAAAAAGTTGAGTTATTGCTATTCTTCCCCTAGAGACTAGCAGGCACTAGGAGCTGTCTGTTTGCACTTCCTCTACCTCTCCATACTAAAACTATGCTCCAGTGAGCCCAGACATTTTTCTTGAGTGTCATCCAGCTAACAGACCAACATTAAAGTACGTGGCTAATGCTTGCAAGATTGACCTTAAAAGTCTATGGCTAGCTTTAGAGATTTAGAAAGCGACTTCTATTACAATTAGAAGTTCTGGTAGCTCTACATAATCCTAGATCTAGTTATGGGAGAGTAGTAGATGCAACAGATTAACAGTAAATGTATGTATTGAAAGGTGCTCTACCTGAACATGATGCATTTGCAGCATAGAAAAGAGCTTGTTGAAGCAGGCACTAAGCATTGGAATGGAAGACGACTGAACAATAAGCTGGTTTGTCTGACTGGATGCTTGTAACCCCCTTAACAACGAGTCGTCTGTACCACCGGAAGGCTGGGATACTAAAAGGAAAAGAAAGAGAACTATGAAAAAAAAAAATCAGGTCATACTAATACATTTTAGGCATTATCAATTTAGCAAGACAATGGGGGGAATTTATCAAAACTGGAGCAGACAGAATCTGGCAACCAATCAGCTTCTCTCTTCAGTTTGATCAGTTAAGATTTGAAAATGGAACGTTGGAAGCTGATTGGTTGCCGTGCACAGCTGCTCCAGATTTCTCTCTGCTCCGGTTTTAATACATTCCCCTAAATGTCCCCAAAATAGAATATAAAGAAGAGCACACAACAGTGTTATTCTGTAGACTTTAGAGAGGATGAGTGTTAAGTAGTCCCCAAAACTACATACAGTTTAAGCCAATTTGATTCAACCCACTGAAAGCAACTAATATATAACGAACAGAAACTGTATATTGAACTGCCTTTTATTTTATGCAATTTGCATACACATGGCAGTGATGAGATATGATTTTCCTTCAATTACATCTTTAACCACTTGCTGACCGGGGTGTTTAGAACCCCTTCCTGGCCAGGCCATTTTTCAGTGTTCAGCGCTGCAGTACTTTGACTGACATTTATTCCCTCATGCAACGCTGTACTGAAATGAATTTTATAAAAAATTTTGGGGAAAAATAGAGCTTTATTTTGGTGGTATTTAATCAGCACTGCGGGTTTTATTTTTTAATGTATTCAGGAGAAATTACTGAAAAAAAAAAAGTTTTTTTTAACATTATGTTATAAAACAACTAATATTACCGACTTTTTTGGTAAAATATAAATGTCGGGGTCACGTCGGGTAAATAGACACCAAACATGTCAAGCTTAAAAATTGCACGCACTAGCAAAAAACTACCATACCCAAAATTGGCCATAGGAGACGCTTTAAAAGCTTTTACCGCTCATCAGTTTAGTGTTATCAGTGATTGATGGCCCTAGAACTATTGCTCTCATTCCGACGTTCGCGGCGATATGTAACATGTGCGGCGTAATGGG